AGATAAATAAAGCATTTATAAATTATTGATTCCCGAAGATCAATGATTTCAGCGTCATCGTAGAGTGAACTGGTTGTGAGCCTAGGAAATTACTGCAGCAATGAAGAAACTCAGTTTAGAGTTTATTTAAAAAGAAAACAAAGAATCATTGCCCAAACGTCAAACAAGCGAAGCACAGAAAATTGTTTTAGCTACGACGATGATAATAGCAGCATGAAAAGTTAATTATAAAACCACACCCCTTACTTTAAATGTAGTTAGGTTCCAACAATTGGATAATACAATCACAATCTGCAACCTTTATTATAATAACATGACAGGGTGTCAAAACATGCATACAATGACATTAAAATCTTTCAGCAAAAGAAATAAACATGACCACGGAATATTTGGAATTGCCAAAAGTGCATTTTCTTTCAACTCGGGAATGGCTTGTTTATGTGTATTGGTGTCTGTGTGTGCGTGTGGCCATAAGAGGAGTGTGGTGGGGGGAGTTAGGGAGGATTATCCTGCACATCAAATATAAACATCAACCAAAAAAAAAGCTTTAAGGAGTATGTTAATCAAGAGCGGCAGAGGGTAAGTCCCAGGATGGAGATGATCATCAAGGATTGGGGTGGCTGGCTGGCGGGCTGGCTGGCATTTTTAAAATGTTTGCAGGAAATTCTGGGAACGCATAAGTTAACGTGTGAAAAACAACAACTTCAAAACAAAGAATTTCTTGTAAATCCTTTATAGAATGTAATATCGAGAACATTGGGGGGGGGGGGCTGAAATGTGACAAAACGTACCTAAGATTAATACAGTTGATAAGAATCCGAACATTCGTTTCAAGACCCTAAACCGTATTAATATTCTAATCACCAACTAACTTATACACCTCAGATTTACTTCACCAATTATTTCAGAAAAAAACGAACATAAAATGTTACGCGCTAAACGCGATATTAAATTTAAAAAAAAAAATAGTGTCCCATTTAGCGCAGTTATCGGGATTTTTATTTCCTGCATTCGTTGTCATCAGATTTCCTTCATTTTCCCCTTGAAAAAAAAAGGAATAAATGATTTTTGAGGGTTTGGGTTTGGTGATTTGGCTAAAAATTTGTTAGAATGTGTTGTTTTTGGCAACGAGTCTATGTGCCAAACTTCAACTCGATAGGTTGACGAGAAGAGAGTCAATTAGCCGTCCGAATATTTTTTCACACACCCAGGCTGTGAGAATGAAGCCCACGAACAAAAATGATGTTAATATAAAGGATTTAGTTAGTTTCAATTTGTTTAGAGAGCTCATCTCAGCCTATTTGTTTGAATTCAATCATTTCAATTGGTGTGTGATAACAGGTGTATCTGGGATTTGTATACTATAACGGAACGGCACATATCCTATTTTTACCACCACAAGATGGGGGTCATCGGGACCACAAACTTCGTACGAAAGGCTTGGCTAGGAAAGTAAGGTTTGAGTGATAAGATGGCAAAGAAAGAGTTGAAGTTAGAGTAAGATAATGTAAATATTCACGGATGGACAGGTAGAAAACTATGACTTTATGTATCAACCGGTATGAAATACAACTTCATGCATCAACATGTAGGAAATACAACTTCAAATTGATGCCTAGACCTTAGAAAATATACTTGTACACAGTGGCGTAGCGAGGCAGGTGCGGGGGGGGGGGTGCGGCCAGCACCGGGTGACACCATTTTAGGGGTGACACCCGATTGAAAAATTGCATATTTACAGGGCACACATTGCTCGCAAAAACCGAGATTCATAAAAGAATAACCGATCACACAGATATTTTTCGCAAATGTAACCAATCCAAATGCGTGCTTTATTAAAAGTTCAAGGTTGATGCTATACTGTGGACTTATTTTAACAAGAAAAAATCGCTCATAGAAGTTTGGGGGGGGGGGGTGACACCATGAGTTTACCGCACCGGGTGGCACCAACCCTAGCTACGCCACTGCTTGTACATGAAGTTTATATAAAAACCATTTTTTTATGAAATTATTACTTAAATTTTAATTTTCAATATAAACGAATTAAGACAGCTTGGAAAGCCATACATTTTGGGCGATTTATTATCAATAAGTTTTTTAGCAATTTATCAATAAATATATATTTTGGGGCAATTTATCAATGCATTTTTGGTCAATTAACATCAATGGGCAATTTGAAGAAAAAAAAAGAGAAAGATTCATTTTTGTTCCCTATTAACATAATAAACTAAGATTCGAGTTCCGGTTGCATTAGCATGAATCAACAAAAACACAACTTTAATGGCTCAACAACGAAACTAGACAAGGTTTATACAATTCGTATATAGTTGTTTTTTTTTTAACGTAATAAGAAGACTTCAGAAAAATAAAAACAAAAATCAAGCAACAAAAAAAAACAAAAAACATCAACTCAACAAAAAATTATTATTATTATTATTATTTTTTAAGTTGTAAGGGTGTGGCAGAAACAGATTCAAATTCAGACCCTTTTCACTTCCAACATTTGTGACATGACGTCATTTCGGAAGTATGTTCTTGTCACAGACTCAGCTTTTAGAAATTAATCATATAGGCTTTGCACGTGTCATTTCCGTTTGCCTTGATGGCCCTTCAAGAAAGTTGCGTCCCTTCAAATAGGTCCCCAAGAATTCCCCAGCCGCGTCAAAAGTTACGAGCCTGGCACTCGCAGCTCGTTTCCGTTCTGCAAACTTGCCGTCACAAAGCATGGTTTCCGCTTCCGGTATTTAACATTTTAGTGTCTGAGCATCGGGGCGCATTACCCTTCTGGCTCGCTCCAGCCCCGACACTAGCCATCAGATACACACATATTAAGATAGAATTGAAGGTCAGCTTAGCTTTAAACTAGATTTGAATGTGGGCTGAATACGGATGTTCACAAGTTATTTTGAGACATGATTGAGACACAAAGTTTCACAGGAAAAAAAAAGGTTTAAAAAATAAGACACTATGCCTGCAAAATGGTGACATTTCTCAGTGATCATAAGGGTTATGTTCCATTCCATTGTTTAAATTAAGTTTTTTTTTAAATCTTTAATTTATCAAAGATTCCACGTTTTTTAAAACATTTAAATGCTTATTTTTTACCGTTGTATGTTAAACAATCGGGTGTTTCCAGTGGAACCTTTTCTCTTTTCCCCTCGAAAGTTTAGACGGAATTGTTGATATATGAATTTAATTTACTCTTCCAAATTTAGCCATCATCTACAAGGCTATCTGCTAGGCTATCTGTTTGGCTATCTGCCAGGCTACCTGCTAGGGGATGGTTAACAGTAAACATAACATCATAAAACATTGTATTAGAACCGGGGTTCTCAACCTGTGGGTCGCGACACCTGGGGGGGGGAAGGGGTCGAACGATCCTTACACAGGGGTCACCTAAGAAAATCAGAAAAAAAATATTTATGAAGTAGCAAAGAAAATATTTTTTTTTGCTGGTTGTCACCACAACATGAGGACTGTATTAAAATGTTCAGGCATTAGGAAGGCTGTGAATCACTGTGTTAGCATTACTACCAATAATGATTGTTTTATGGAACTTTTTCCCCATGAAACAAACATGGAAAGACTTGTTCTATATTTTGAGTTGCTACTTGTCGAATATGAAGTATATTACTTTCATTTAATTTTTTTTTTTGTAACTTTGGACCTTCCACTAGGACCTGTCAACCTGTCTTTCACTAGGACCCAACTACCCAACCATTCCATAGGACCCAAAAAACTCGACCTTCCCTATGACCCAACAACTCGACCTTCCCCTAGGACACAACTACCCAACATTTCCCTAGGGCACATTTACCCAACCTTACCTTAGGACCCAACAACTCGACCTTCCCTTAGGACCCAACCACTCGACCTTTCCTTAGGACCTACCTACCCGACCTTTCCCTAGGACCTACCTACCCAACCTTTCCCTAGGACCTACCTACCCGACCTTTCCCTAGGACCCAAAAACTGGACCTCACCCTAGGACCTAACTACCCGACCTTTCCCTAGGACCTAACTACCCGACCTTTCCCTAGGACCTACCTACCCGACCTTTACCTAGGACCCAACAACTGGACCTTTCCCTAGGACCTACCAACCCGACCTTTCCCTAGGACCTACCTACCCGACCTGTCCCTAGGACTTAACTACCCGACCTTTCCCTAGGACCTAACTACCCGACCTTTCCTTAGGACCCAACAACTCGACCTTTCCCTAGGACCTAACTACCCGACCTTTCCCTAGGACCCAGATACCCGACCTTTCTGTAGGACCTACCTACCCGAACGTTCTCTGGGACCCCAGGACCAGCGAGCACAGAAGGCTAAACGATATGAACAATCGGGGTATCTGCGTAATCTACAAAAAATAAAGGGAAGAAATTCAAAAAAAGTAATAACACTGAGTCTGATGTCAAGTGTAGTGACTGTGAACACAGTTATAGAGCCAACCATTAATTTCATGTGTTCGATATTATCATTGCTTGTAGCAACACATTTATAAAGTCATCGATATTGTCTTCTAAATTTACGTCGTCAGCTGAAATCAATATCACCAAAGGGTTTCCGAAATTTAAACTGGACAAATATAATATTTTGCCAGGAACAAAGTCATCCTGGAATTACTCCCACCCATCCCCATTTTCCCATTTTTCTCTTCCTGCACTCAGTAAAGTTTCTTATGTCATAATATCGTGGTCTTTAAATGCAATCATTTTTCTATAACAGGAAAGGTAATCTAATGCCATAACTTGTCCAGTATTTTGATTAACTTGATCAACTCCCCTTTTCTGGTAATGTCGGTATTTCTTTTAAGTTAACATTGTAACTTGTAACTCAAGCATTTAAAAAAAAATGAATTCTGTTTGAAGCAATCACCAAACTTAAATTAATTTTTTTTTTAAAGTGTAGACAATTAATATAGACAGCTTGTCAATTCTAAACACAAACAAACAAAAGGAATTTCTTTTTGTGTTTAATGTTTTTATTGTTTTAATTGTCCTTTGCGAAAATGACTTCTCAATTTTGGTAGACTGTAAATAACTTGAGACGCAGTGGACGTCGCATTCTAGAATGCTGTTGGTTTAAAAACCCTCAGAGAATATTTCTTTTGTTTCTTTCAACATTTTTTCACTTTCTTCCTACAGAACGTCACACAATTGCGACATTTTGCCTTCCTGCAGTCACCTTTCCGGCACCACTTGTTGACCTGTCCGTTGTAGAACAGCCACAAATAATCGGCAAACGAATGGATGACCAGGGAAAAGACCACGTTCAGGAACAGCAGGGCGATGACCATGTACGGGAATTCCTTAGGCGAGATTTTGGGGTACAGGGCGAACGCTTGCCTGGAGGAACAGATGAGAACAAACGCTTTGAGAACCCTTAGGTTTACATTTTAAAAAAAAAATAATGTTTTAAATCACGTAGCCTAAGTCAAATACAGAGCTTTTCGTTATTGAGTTGAATTTTGTACTAATAGTCCGTCTCCAAGAGGTAATGTTCTTCAACACAAAAACTATGTTTCTCTTGTTCTTTTCGTTCTTTCTCTATCTCTGTTAGTGTCTCTGTCTGTCCATCCGTCCCTTCTCTGTCTTTGTTTTACTTTCAACCCAGTTCTGGAACTAGTACAAAAGTTTTACTTTACACCTATTGTTTTGCTCTACAAGAAATATTTTAATTTACTAAATAAAATTATTGTCACGATCGGATCTTCAACCCGAAAACGTTATTCTCCGGTTCCATCCAGTCTTTGCGAACCAGCTGTGCATTGCGCATGTTGACAAGAGAGCACTAGGAACACATCTAAGTAAAGTCGTTAAATGAATCTGTATAAATGAAGGAGTTTTTACGAGCCATCACACTGACCAGTGAGTTAGACACGGCAGCAGGATGCCCAGCAGAATGACAAGCCGTACTGTCTGAAAGATGTAGGCCAACTGGCGCAGGAATACACTACGGAAGACGTGACATCCAATCAGATGATAGAGGTATATCAATAAGGCTGAAACAATGGAGTCATAATATAAACACCAAACTGAAATGTACGTCCTAAGTGGCTTTTCAATTACTTTTTTTAATATGATGCGCAGTCCGCAGATTTAGTTGTGAGAAGCATTTCGTTAACGGCTCAGCCAGAGGTAAAATTCTTAATGTATTCATTATTTTGTGTATCTTTCAAAAAAAAAATCACTCACAAATGATAAGAAAAATTACAAATCGCTAAGCGTCTTGAATATATTTAGCTTTGCACCCCTTCCCCCACCCCCGGTAGTGCTATTGCTAATTAGTGCACCCGGTGTGGCGCTGGTCAGCTAATCCGCTTATCTGTGCTGCCTAGCTTGTTGAATTGAGGGTGGACGTGGATGTCCATCCTGTGTGTTGCAGCTACTCCGATACCTTTGTTGTGTGTCCTAGTTTCTTCAACGGGCGCCTAACAGACTGCGTCGAATCATATTCATAATTCGTAAGAGGCCGCTGGTTAACTTAACAGAAGCCCAACATCACGGGATCGTTAGGGGGATCCTCCCTACGACTAAACTGTGGCCAACTGAGCAATAGTTAAGACGGGCTTACGGGGTAACGCTTATGACGTCTGTGTTACCCCCCCCCCTTTCCCGAAGTGATTGTATTCAATGTGCTTACACAACAAAGTATTAGGTTTGCGTTATTTAAAGTAAACCATTCTGCTGTGCCTACCACATAATATAATAGTGGTTAACTTAACAGAAGCCCAACATCACGGGATCGTTAGGGGGATCCCCCCTACGACTAAACTGTGGCCAACTGAGCAATAGTTAAGACGGGCTTACGGGGTAACGCTTTTGACGTCTGTGTTACCCCCCCCCCCCCTTTCCCGAAGTGATTGTATTCAATGTGCTTACACAACAAAGTATTAGGTTTGCGTTATTTAAAGTAAACCATTCTGCTGTGCCTACCACATAATATAATAGAGTTGGTTTGAATTAAAGTAAAACATTTTGCTGTGCCTACCACATAATGTAATGGCGTTGGTGTGAATTAAAGTAAAACATTCTGCTGTGCCTACCACATAATGTAATGGAGTTGGTGTGAATTAAAGTAAAACATTCTGCTGTGCCTACCACATAATGTAATGGAGTTGGTGTGAATTAAAGTAAAACATTTTGCTGTGCCTACCACATAATGTAATGGAGTTGGTGTGAATTAAAGTAAAACATTTTGCTGTGCCTACCATATAATGTAATGGAGTTGGTGTGAATTAAAGTAAGACATTTTGCTGTGCCTACCACATAATGTAATGGAGTTGGTGTGAATGAAAGTAAAATATTCTGCTGTGCCTATTACATAATGTAATGGAGTTGGTGTGAATTAAAGTAAAACATTCTGCAGTGCCTATTACATAATGTTATGGAGTTAGTGTGAATTAAAGTAAAATACTCTGCTGTGCCTATTACATAATGTAATGTATTTGGTGTGAATTAAAGTAAAATATTCTTCTGTGCCTATTACACAATGTTATGGAGTTGGTGTGAATTAAAGTAAAACATTCTGCTGTGCCTATTACATAATGTAATGGAGTTGGTGTGAATTAAAGTAAAACATTCTGCTGTGCATACCACATAATGTAATGGAGTTGGTGTGAATTAAAGTAAAACATTCTGCTGTGCCTACCACATAATGTAATAGAGTTGGTGTGAATTAAAGTAAAACATTTTGCGGTGCCTACCACATAATGTAATGGAGTTGGTGTGAATTAAAGTAAAACATTTTGCTGTGCCTACCACATAATGTAATGGAGTTGGTGTGAATTAAAGTAAAACATTTTGCTGTGCCTATTACATAATGTAATGGAGTTGGTGTGAATTAAAGTAAAACATTCTGCTGTGCCTATTACATAATGTAATGGAGTTGGTGTGAATTAAAGTAAAACATTCTGCTGTGCCTACCACATAATGTTATGGAGTTGGTGTGAATTAAAGTAAAATATTCTGCTGTGCCTATTACATAATGTAATGGACTTGGTGTGAATTAAAGTAAAATATTCTGCTGTGCCTATTACATAATGTTATGGAGTTGGTGTGAATTAAAGTAAAATATTCTGATGTGCCTACCACATAATGTAATGGAGTTGGTGTGAATTAAAGTAAAACATTCTGCTGTGCCTATTACATAATGTTATGGAGTTGGTGTGAATTAAAGTAAAACATTCTGCTGTGCCTACCACATAATGTTATGGAGTTGGTGTGAATTAAAGTAAAATATTCTGATGTGCCTACCACATAATGTAATGGAGTTGGTGTGAATTAAAGTAAAACATTCTGCTGTGCCTATTACATAATGTAATGGAGTTGGTGTGAATTAAAGTAAAATATTCTGCTGTGCCTACCACATAATGTTATGGAGTTGGTGTGAATTAAAGTAAAACATTCTGCTGTGCCTATTACATGATGTAATGGAGTTGGTGTGAATTAAAGTAAAATATTCTGCTGTGCCTACCACATAATGTTATGGAGTTGGTGTGAATTAAAGTAAAACATTCTGCTGTGCCTATTACATAATGTTATGGAGTTAGTGTGAATTAAAGTAAAACATTCTGCTGTGCCTACCACATAATGTTAAGGATGTTTGTCTTAACTTGAGGTCAACACGGTGTGTGCCTACCACATAATGTTATGATGTTTGCAACTTCTCCTACGACATCAATGGGTTCCTCAGAGGCCATTTTTCGTCCATCGGTGGGGCCGGATCGGTCATTCAGCGCAGACGATAGAGACTATTGTTACCATTTCAGAATCTGACCTGAAGTTTAAAACAAAATGGACCAACAGTCGTTGACGGAATCAGTTGGTTAATCACAGAGTCTCTGTTATAGTGGTAGAAGTAACAGATAGGATCAGAAGAGGGACTTTTTTTTTTAAACGAAGAAACAAGTGTTTGGTGGGGGGGGGGGGGGGCCAATTAAGACTAAAAGAACGCTGTGAAAGCCAAGCTTCCTTAAACATTGATATGAAGTTCTTTTTTAGCACGTTTCCTCGTGGATTTTCTAGTCGTGTAACAAGTAGTGGTAGAAGTAACAGATAGGATCAGAAGAGGGACTTTTTTTTTTAAACGAAGAAACAAGTGTTTGGTGGGGGGGGGGGTGGCCAATTAAGACTAAAAGAACGCTGTGAAAGCCAAGCTTCCTTAAACATTGATATGAAGTTCTTTTTTAGCACGTTTCCTCGTGGATTCTCTAGTCGTGTAACAAGAAGGTCATTCGGCACGCTAGGGTGAAACAAGGCGTCATGGATTCTCTAGTCGTGTAACAAGAAGGTCATTCGGCACGCTAGGGTGAAACAAGGCGTCATGGATTCTCTAGTCGTGTAACAAGTAGGTCATTCGGCACGCTAGGGTGAAACAAGGCGTCTTGGATTCTCTAGTCGTGTAACAAGAAGGTCATTCGGCACGCTAGGGTGAAACAAGGCGTCTTGGATTCTCTAGTCGTGTAACAAGTAGGTCATTCGGCAAGTTAAGGTGAAACAAGGCGTCATCTCTGTTTTGTTCACTTAAGTCCAAAAACACAGGCTTTCTATAAATGGATTGACATGTTCGTCGTTGAAAAAAAAAACAACTGGATTATTTCTTAGTTGAAGACTCAATGTGATCTGATCTACCCATTTTTCAAACCAGATATACAGCTTAGATGTGTTACAAAGAAGGCACATCAATTCTGGCGCATAAAGACAACCATTTGCTCGAAGAACTATTGGAAGAAAAATGATGTGGTAAAATAAAAAAAAATATAATAAAAATAAAAAGATTCATTAAAGGATTCCTCCCGCCCTCTTCACACAGGTGCTTAACATCAGCTCAATCAGGGCGAATACTTCATCGCAAAGCTAGCACAAAAACATTTAGAGAAATGCATTTTTTTTTCAAAATATATCTGAGTGATCAGCGTACACCCAAGACTTTGACAAACCCTAAATAATGACCATTAAATTTATTGTTGTCCCAAAGGGAGTGGGGTTTTTAATGGAATATGACCAAATAGTTTTTCGACTGGGAAATACTTTAGTTATCTTTTCTTTAAAGTGTTTAATTTGTCTGCTGTTGCGAAATAATCGTATCTTATATTATCTTATCTGATCTACGAATGGTAGATTGGGCAAAACGAATTTTATAAAATGACCCCCCCCCCCCAATTTTTTTCTTTTTTTTTTTTTTTTAAGAAATAAAGTGAAAGGAGCACGATAAATAAGTAGGATTTGAAAAAAAATTATGTTTTAAAGTGATGACTTGCAAAAAATTGTATGATCTAGATTTATAATTGCATTTCTACATTTGACGTAGTGTTACTTACTATGGCATTCAATTCATTTATTTAAATTAAACAGGGTAAATTACTTGATCCTTTAGATGAGATTAAGATCTTATTAAGTGACTTTCTAACTTTTTTGAACTATATAAAATTAGAATTCATTCAGAATTCGTGCTATATTGTGATGTGGCTCGCGAGTTGGTAGGAAAATTCGCAAAAAAATGCGCAAATTTTTTAACTTGGGCTAGCATCTAATGTCATCTGTTTAATATTTACTTTGAATATTAAAATGGTGTAGTTATTTATTTAATCTTTTTTAAAATATTAAGTGTTTGAGCACATTAAGCACAATTTCTTTCTTTATGTTTTCTTCTTTTTGTTTGTTTGTTTGTTAGACCAACAGCTTCAGAATAATGTAGGGTGTCTGGAAACTGCGCAGGAGAAGGGAAATAACTCTGCATTTTTATAAAAAAAAATTGAATTATGGAGTTGTCTTGCTTCGTCTAAGGCCTAAGGAAAGACGAGATCTCAGTTTTCACAAATTTCATGTTATTTTTGTTGATAAACTGAAAACATTCTATCAAATCGTTGCTGTCAGGCATTGTCAGCCTTGACTCATTCAACACTCGACAGTAAAGACGATAGCGATATTTACTGTCTATTAGATTATGAGCTATCGGCACCGGACACTAGCAAAAGGAATCAATATAATATCTATTTAAAAACTATTACTGACTAGAGAATTACACTAGTTGCTTTCAAATCAAAACAAAATTTCGTCCAAAGTCTAATCCATATAATACCTAGAACTCGCGTAAGTCATCTTGAATAGAGTATATCAATGAAGTACATCTATAATCTACATTATTGGATGGTCAGATTTCATATCCTGTTAAAGTCAAGATAGCAACGTAGCCAGTCTTAAACGGTTTAGAGGATAGACAAGTAGGATCAGCTCTGTGAGATAACAGTTAAAGCGAGAATGGTCTTATTGCGATTATGTCTGGATAAATTATTACCCCCGATGTTTCCGAGCAGACGACAAGAAACCAAGACCATAGGGCATCCCGCTCTACGACTCGCAGACGACCGGATGTTATTTTCTGAGAAGATTTCCTGGTGTATCTCGTCTTGTGTGTTGCTCCCCGAGCAATGGCCTTGGCTTCCTACTTATAATAGCATTCATTAATCTTCCGGCGGCAGATATTGCGGAAGTGACGTCGAAAATATGGGGTAAATATCATAAGAAAACCTCTCTCACAGTTTATGTCTATCTGGCGCTCACTTTCTCTCTCTCTCACCTTCTCTCTCTCACACTCTCTCAGGTGCTAACTTTCTCTCCCTCTCTCTCCCTCTCTCCCATGTTCTCTCTCTCACTTTATCTCCACCATTTTAACGCCCTCACATTCTCTCTCTAATTACTTTCTCTCTCTTTCTCTCTCTTTCTCTCTCACTTTCTTAATCTCCCACTCTCTTACTTCCTCTCTCTCCGTTCATCTCTCTCACTTTCTTGCTCTCTGATTTCCTCTCTCTCACTTTCTCTCTTTCACTTCCTCTCTCACTCTATCGATCTCACTTTCTCTCTCTGTCTCTCTATCTTTCGCCTTCACACACGAAGATACATAAATAATCAATAGAGACTCATCCTGAGTCCCAGTTCATTTATGTACTGTAGTGTCGTGCATCGATGCCATTGCCATTCACGTCATTGTATTCGATGAAGGATAAGTTGTACATTTACAACGTGTGGACATTGATTGCGGTCCGATACTGATTGGGGGGGGGGGTGATATGAAACGTCGGCACTGGAGGCTACGAATGGTATTTCTATACAACTAACAATCATTGTTTTGTTTAAGTGAGGAGGCCGAAAGGTTCAGATGATAAATAAATATTTCGCTTGTCAGGAGAAAGAAAGATAGTTTCAAATCACCCAAACGTACAATGGCCAATGCCAAATAAGTACCATTCGAAGTGCTAAATTAGTAACATTTGAAGTGCAAAATTCGTAACATTGGAAGCAGTGTTTCTTTCAGAAATTTTC